CTGAATTGAGCGATCAATTATTAGACCCGGACGTCCCAACACTTGCTTCGCAAGACAAACTCAAGGTATCCCCTAAAGGGCTACCTTTCGTGACAAGAAAGCAAGGCTACGAACGGAGCGATCGGACGCTACGAACGGGGCTCCTGGCCTTACTACTAGTAGACGAACGGAGCAAGAAGCTACGAACGGAGCAAAGGGCATTCCGTTTCCTGGGAGGCAAGATGAGGGATGCTTGTCGACAGGACGAGCGGACGAGCGGACGAGCTGCTTCTCGCACATCTTCTTGGCGGCTTTCTCGGAGCCACCAGCCTCTGGGCCCTTCTCCAGGAGAACCTGCGTTGTGTTCGTGGGAAGAGGAAGGGAGTGATGGGTACTCTAAAGACTCCAAGACTGGCTCCGTGATTGGGACTGTCCCTGGGCGAGTCCCACTTCACTCTCCTCCCAACGGGAGCAGCCGACTGCTCTCCCTCTTTTTGTCTTTCCTCGTTCGGAAAGGGGTGTTCCAGAAATCCACTTGTGTAGGATGTCAGTGTGCGCCGCATTGCAAGTCTAATATCTCTCCAAGAGAGCTTCAGAAAGAGAAGGATAGAGGGCTCAAGAAAGCAAACAGTTGACCTATATTCCCCCACTGCTTGGTTTGGGTCAATCTCTGCTATATGTGATCAAGGTTGATTGAAGCATCTACCAATCCCTTTGATGTACTGAAGAGTCTTTGTCTTTTGTTGTTCCAAAGCAATGGCGGTGGCCTAGGCTTCTGTGTTGTTGAACATGGCTGATAGCATGAAACACCATGCCACAAGATGGCATCTTGCAGAAACCACTGAATGAAACTTTGGGACTCCTAAAATCAAAGCCTACATTTCGAACACCAAACATTTCGCACCTGAGAATGAGACCCTCAAAAAAGATCCTTTTACTGCAAACCAGTGGTGTGCTTTTGGAGTAACCTCAAAACCATGGCGTCCAAGGCCCATCTTTGACTTCCCGACCCGCTCCCCCCGCGGAACCGGCAGCGCCTTCAACATGTTCTCTAGGAAGTCCCTGGGCGATGCACATGATGCAGCTGCAGCATGTGCATGAACCACCATTCATTTTGATTGTATGGTAACTAACTATGCAGCTGCAATACTTAGTTATCTCTAGATAGTTTCTATAGTAAAGTACACGGAGATGAACACACGAATCAACACTTATTTGCACGGACATCTTGATCTAAACATCATACCTGACCATGTTATACCACTGTGTCACTCCTGTCCCTTGTGTCACTTCACTCGTCATCACTCATCTCCTTTGGGCCTCTCACCCCCTCCGCCGCTTGCCCCGCCGGTGGCAAGGCGAGCACCACCGGAGGGACGCGCGACGTCGCGACGTCCTCCGCGCCGAGCGGCGTGAACTTCGTCTGCTCCTTCACTTGCTGATCCCGACGCCTGCGGGGATCCAAGACTCCAAGACTCGTGGCCAGTGGGGGTGGTCTGGAAGCCTGAAGTCTCCTGGTGAAGTCTCCAGAGTAACGAGGGTAAACAATGGAGATCTACTTAGTGCTTTGTTTCTTTTGCCAGCTAGTGTTTTGCACAGATCGCCCTGCGACATGAGGATGCCAATACCCCATAGCCACTCTTCGAGCTTTGTGCCATCTAACCTGGCTGCGACCCATGGGGAGACTCCCAACTCACTCCTATCCCCCGGATCGTGTCCCACCGAGACGCGCCTTTTCACCGAGACGCCCTCACTCTCCAGCGACGCCCACGCCTGGACGGCGGATCAAGCGCGCGCGTCGTCACCGTGGCCGGTGAGCTCTATTTATTGTGATCTGATTCTATCTGTGCTCCTTTTACTTCCTTTTACTTCTACCCTTTTTTTAACTTTATCACTTCCCCCGCGAAAAAAAAGCAAATCCCAGACTAAAAAGGCCTCCAAGTGAACAAAGAAAGGATCACTCTACAGCTGGACAGGCCATAAAACTACAACTGGCCGTTTGCAAGCCAACCACCAATGTGTGCCACGCGGGTTGATCGGAAACAAAGAGACCGCGGCCTGTTCAAGGTCGCTCAAGACCTTCTTGGCCTCCTCATGCGAAAGCATGCGCAAGCCGCAAATAACAGAAGAACATCACAGACCGCGGCAAAGACTCTTGCGAAAGCGTTCCTGTTTCCAGTGAAGAAAGGAAGAAGGCCTACCGATCCAAAATCACATCAACAAAGGCACCTTGCTGGATGAAAACAACAAGATACACAATTGTCCAAAAACGTCTACACTCCGGGGAAATCATGAACGTGGACATAATTTGGACAGTAGTCTTGTGGAGAAAAGCATGTTTTTCTACCGACAGGTGGTGCCATCAACAGGTGCTATCCACTTCGATGTGGACGACTTGGATCGTAAAACAATGTAACACATGCACTGTGAATCTCTGAAGGCAGATTAATCGCTGCCTTTTTGGCAGGTCATTTCCTTTTTGTACATGGTGTTGTTTTCCTCAGACATGTTTTCCTATGTTTTCCTCCCACCACGAACTGGTGGTGCCATCCACTTCGATGGAACGTGAGTCGGACGGTCAAAGGAACGTGTGTCTTCTTCGGGAAGTGATGAAACAGCATAGGCGATAAACGCCGCGCGCACAGCAAATCACCACACGAAGCATCGCGAATGCAAAAAGGGGGGCTTGAGACGTGCTTCTTCGAATTTTGTTCAGTTGTTTTCCTTTGCAAACCTTTGCGTATTGGTTTGTTATTTTGGTTGATGTTTCATGGTTCTTCTCCTGTTTGGACCTTGCACCTTTCTTCCTTCCATCCTTTCTTCTACTTTTGCCATCATTGAGCTTTTCTGCCGTCATGTTTCGGTTTCATCCTCCGCTTTTCACATGCTCGGGACCTGGTCCCGAATTTACTCAGACTCTCTCGCCTGGAAGACATCCGCAGAAACAGCTCGAAGACACCAACACTTCGAAACAGGAAGACAAATCCCCACCATGTCCTCATGCTCCTCTGCCTTCTTTGCCACTGCATCTTTGGCCTGCTTTTTGGACGATGCCCTTCGGTCAGCGGCACGATGTGCATGGAGGATGAGGACGGGTCGGCAGCATGCCCGTTGTGTGCCCGTGGTTTCGTCTGGGCGCGTTCGTGGGGAATTCTCAGAAAACACGTTCACAAACAATCCCCAATCATCTCACAGAAAGATTCTTTCCCACACTTTCTGTCGGACTCTATACAACCGCAGTGAATAAACACCAAACAGGGATCAATCATCCACCCGGCAACACCCAAACATGCTCCATTGGCACACTTTTTTCGAAAGTCCACACCGCCAAGGTTGAGGCCTAAGTGGTCCTTGCTTACTGTTGCGATACAGTACCTCTTTTGAAACATTTAAACACATGCAGGCTATTCTGTTTTGGCCTGGCGAAACTGTACACAGGTTCTGGTTTTTGGCGGCTTAAAGCTGTTGCCGCTCCACGATGCCTATCAAAGGCAGCGCTACTTCTTCAACCAGCGCCCATCGAATAGAAGCTTCTGTTGCGGTGCTTTCAGGCCGCCCTTCTTCCACAGCGCTTTGCTGACCAACTTTTCCACATAGATTGGGAGTCTGTCAGCGACAATGTTCTGGTAGCCTCGGGCCATAAAACCACAGCAAGACAACCAGGTAGATTCGCACATCACAAGCAAAAAGCAACACCACCCTTCTCCCCACCAGCTTCCGCCCCCCAAAAACGAAACACCGTTCCACCGCCATCGGAGTCGAGCGCCGTGTCGAGCCGCGGTTCGGGAATGGACAAAACCCGCTGACCGAGGGACGCTCCAGGTCCAGGTAGCCGTACTTCCACTCCAAAAGGCTTCCAAGTCCTTCCACAATGCTCGGAGCATACGAGCGGAGGACAACGGAGGAAGCGGACGACTTCGCGCGGAACCAGCGGACGCGGACGCGGGCTACGACTTCGCGGAACCAGACCCCACTCAAAATCAGATGTTTCGAAGTCCTTCACATAAGAGCATTCGGCCCCGGTCACTGAGGCCTCCCTTCGCTGCTCCGCACCTGGGGTCATCGAAGTCGGAATTCGTCGTTCTGCGCCACGTCTTTGGAAGATCATCGGTGGTAGAAATGTTCTAAATATGTCTTTCTAGGATGATAAGCCATAAGCTACATGAGGTTCGGTGTGTGATTTCATGACAGGAGCCATAAGCTCCATAGTCGAGTGAACTCACCAAAAAGGATGCATCGACGAACATCATGAACTCATCAAAAACCGGAAACAGAAAATCAGGAGTGCCAAAGGTATCCATCAAAGCCTGTCAGGCGTCGCTGGCTCCCCCTCGCGCACAAGCGTATGATTAAACAAATGCAAAAAAGGACTACTGGGACTCAGAGTTCCTGGGCTGACAGGTTTTTGAACAAGTCCTGGTTTACCGAAATCACAGACGCGAATTCGCTGGGCTTGCCGATGTTTGTTGGTATGGTTTTCCCCCAAATAGGCTGCTTGCCAAACATGATTCTTACTATTTCTTAATGTTGGGATCCATATTATGACATGTAGAGCACGGCATCCAAGCGAATTTACAACCGTCACAAAGCTTGTGCAGCAATCAGTTTTCTCCTACCCATGCTTTCGCATTTCTTTCGTGCGCCGCCTTTGACTTTCGCGGCAGCATCAGAGTCCACACGTTGTTTAAAGTCTTTCCATAAATGCGTTTAACACCCCATGCCTATGACGTTATGAAGGTAGTTTCACCAACCGACCCTTGGCCACCCACGTTTCTAGCGGTATCTAGAGGTCCTATGCCAGCCAAGGTGCAAGGCTCTCTCCTTCATCTTGAGGAGCCTTTCCATGATGACTATGAAGTCACCGGTGTAGAATTGCTCAATCACCTGCGGGCTGGCATGAGTCATTGTCCGTTTTCCGCTGCTCTCGTCACTCCATTCCGTCGTAATTAAACCAACGCCCAAGTCGCGCTGTCGACTTGCTGGTGGACACGTCGCTCGTCCACCTGCTCATAATCCTGACGACCGAACCGGCAATCCAAACGAACAAAAAATACACCCTGAAACGACCGACCGATGCGTCGCTCGGGCGACAAGCGCCCGACCTGTATAGAAGACTGTCGTCAGGTGATCGGAAAGAAAAAAGACACAGAACAACTCAGAAACAACGCATACATCGACTTGTCAATAAAGAAACTCCGCAAACCCCCGCAGAAGCACTTCCGCAGAAGCGAACCCGGACGCTTCCTTGGGGCGCTTGATGGGCGTCCAATTCGCACTTCCTGAAGCCGGACGCTTCCGCGACTTCATCACAGGCGGTGCCTCTTTGAGCCTTGGTTTTTCACGGGACGTGGCAGGAGGCTTTGGATATGGCAGGAGGCTTAGTTGTGGAATGGTCGGATCCATTTCCAACAAATCTACGATCCTTCACATCCATAAAGATGAGACTAAAGATGAGATGTTGCGTCTGGAAACCTTGCGTTTAGCTCTTCTGGGTCAGAGAAAGGGTCAAAAACGGTGAGAGATGGAATCAAAGGGAGCCTGATGCCGAGTGATGCCCGGTGTCCCCCAAAACCACAAAATGACGCCAAAGCGAAGCACTTCCGGTGGAGGACGTGCACTTTGTGAACCCTGAACACATCCACAATCGTCCACAATTACAACACGCATTTGCCAACGGACAGCTTTGCCAATTGTTTTGTTCTGAGATCTCTTCTTCATGGCTTCTTCATCCATGTCATGAATCCTATGATCAACATCCAAACAAAACCACCATGAGAAAAAAACACACACACACACACAAAAAAAGAAACACCATGTCGACAAGTCCCGTCCATCTCTTCTCCAGTCCATCTCATTCGCCACGCGACAACTCGCGCCAGTGGTTGACCAAATCGTCCTTGGCTTCTGCGGCCCAGTGCAGACGGTCCTGGCCGGGACCGCGGCGTGTCGTGGGACGTTCGCATCGGGTCTGGATGCCCGGCTGATTGGGGAGGAGGCAGTGGGGAGGCCGATTCCGGGAATCCTAGGGATGAAGATTGGGTTCAAGATATCCCAAACATCTTCCCCGAAAAGCCCCTTCCAATTCACCCAAACGCAGCGCCTCGCCGCGGTTCACGCAGGTCGCGGGTTTAATGCGCCGACCGGAGGGCCAAAGCAGGTTCTGAGTTCCCCCACCCGGGCCAGCGGCCAGGTGCGCACTTTCTCAAAGCAGCGCTTCACCTCGAGGACACCCAAATTGGATCGGAGCCGAACTCGCACCCGAGATGGTTTCTTCTTAAGGTGTGGAAGGGCTTTTCGCGAAGTGATGTACATGCACCCCCGGGGCCACCTCAGCCACCCAATCACTGATCAACTTGCCCAGTCAATCCCGTTGGATCTATGAAACACGAGAAGCTCTTCCCTCTTTTCCTGTGGCCTAGAAAGAAAGGGTCAAGCCGTGTGAGTGGGATTGCGTAGGGCAATGACCGAACTTACAATCAAGAAACACTGCCACAACCCTGTTGCCGGATTGCATGCGCCGGCCTGTCATTCTTTGCGATGAATCAGCGCTACATGACCTTCGACCCACCTCATCCCACGAGCCACACACCATGCCTGCCGCGACCCACGAGCCACACACCCCGTCCCCGCCTCGTAGCCCGCATGAGCCACCCACTTCCGGATGTGCGCCATGTTTTGATCATACACCGAGCTCAAACCTGCGCAGATCGGTTTCTGCCGCAGCAACAGAAGCACCCACCCAGCAGTTCCGGCCACGCCCCATCGTGCGGGCAAAAAGAAAGTAGACCGCAGATGGTTATCGATGTTCGAGGATTTTTGCACGTGATGTGGCATAGAATGATTGATCACTCTTGGAACAAATAAACCGCCAAGGACTTGTGCGCCTTGTTCCTCCAAGTCCAACAGCCGAGCTCGGCTCGGCTCTGGGTCAAAACGATACCTTGGTTGACCTCCCAACAATCAGGTTATCGCCTTTTGTGACTCATCCCCCCAATTTCTCCACATCTTAGGGACCCCTGATTGCCATGAGTCCGCCCTTCGCCCTTCGCACCCACGAATCGGCACCAACCATCCGCACCAACCGCCGCGCCGAGGAACCATACTTCCGCGAGAAGCCGCCCATGAAGAAGGTGCAACGTTGGCACTTCGTGGGCAAAATCTCGAAGAGTTGATCCCACAAGGGCTTGAAGCGCCCCACATCAATCGAACGATCCGTGTGCTCCTCAAAGAATGTGGTGAAATGTGGTGAAGGAGCACATAGGAGGAACATGACTATAAAAGAAAAGCTGGGAGCAGATGGACATGGAGATTTCCGTGAAAGAAGGTGAACTGTGAACAAAGAGTTGGGAGTGAACAGTGAACATCAACAAACAACTCCCCCCCTCATTGATCATAGGGATGAACCCGTTTTGAACTGGAACGGCAATTTTTCTCAAAACGACCACCACCATCCCCACAAAGAAACGGGTGCATCCATGATCTGGCCCCTGACTGCCCCGTGGTCTGGTGAAACATGAGCAGGGTCGAGCTTCCTGACATCTTCAAAGGACTCAGGAGGAACTTTGAACAAACAAAAACGCAAGTACCACACAAACACACACCAGACCTAGCACTTCCAATGGGTGTCCAATGGTGACCTATAAGCAGTGTAGGGTTATCCGTTGGTAACCCCTTGGAAGCTGGGATGAATCGATTTGTAGACAGGTCTCGTTCCCAAAGTACGAAATGCCCAGCGTGCCGCATTGAAAGGAACTGCTGGTGAGATGGTTCAAAATGTCCCGGATGCCGCCGCCAGGGTATGCCGCCACTTCTACACTGCCTGCGCTTCGTGGTCATTGGCGAACCAAAACGCCCGACCGAACGGATTTGGCCTGCGAAGAGGCGGAAGAGAAGAGACACCAGACATCTGGAATTCAGAGGCGGAACGCAAACAGAAAACGCCAACCAGTCGAACTGCTTCACCAGAACCGGTTCACCATTCTGGAAAGCCGAAACTCTTTCACTGGGTGACCAACTCCGATCTTTTTAAACACTCCTCAGGGTCACCTCGTGAAGCCGTTCGTCTTTTTCAGCACCGCTTCGTCCGGGTGCGCACGGTTTGTTTTCGGCCCAGGGGCGGTTGTCCAGCGCCCAAAGTAAGGGCTGCTGAATCTTGCACGGCTTTCCTTGGCGAGACTGCAACATGAATTGGTTTAAGGCTTTAAGGGAACATCTGCAGGAAACCATAGGAAACCCATAGTTTTGGGATGAAAAACCATGGTTTCCTGTAGATTGTCCTTTAACCCCATTCATTGAAGACTGCGAGAACATCCGGCCAGACTCCTGTCTCACTACTTCTGCCCTGGAAGAGCTCGGAGCTCTAAAGAGATGTGCAAACGAAAATCAGAACATGGACGACTTGCCGCGAAAGCGCTCTGCCAGAATGCGGCAAGTACATGCTGAGCGATTCTGTGATTCTTCACTCAAAACATCATCAATCATCAGCATGTAGCTTGTGTAGGTTGATGTAGGTTGTGTAGCTCCTTCACCTGCGCAACCTTCACAACTCCACCATGTCCCCCAAACGATGCGACTCCGGTGCTGCCCAGCTGCCGTTCGCACGCTTCGTGTAAAGCGAGGAGTCTCCGACCAAGCAGAACTCCACCACCATTGCGGTTCTTGGGGCGAATGCAAGCTAAAAACCCGCAAAAAGAGGCCCAAACGACCATGACCATGGGCAAGCAAGATGAAATGACCATTGAGGTTCTTTACATGGGCCTGCAATGGCCGTTTTGGAGTCCTTCGAGACACTTGTCGCCAAGTCGAACCGAACCGGCCGACTGGAGCCCAAATGGTCGGCCGATGTGAGGTCGCGATGTGGCGTGACACGAGGTACGCCTCTAGATCAACATGGATCAAAGAAGTGTCCACTATCGTTTTTTCCCTTTTTCGGTTTACCATCGTTTACATCAAAGCCAGGATCATTCATTCAACGATCATCTTGATTTTCTGAAAAGAATGGCTCACAGCACTGGCCTCGGTCAGGATCTCCCCAGCAGCTGTGAGCTCTGCCTGGTGCGAAAGCACCGCGAGACGGGCACCAAGGTCCGGACAATCGAATTCTCACATGCGCCTATCATGTGGCTGCGCCCACTCATGCACCCCCGGTCGATGCCCAAGGTTTCACGGTTTCAGAGTGCTGTCGGGGTCGAACTGCGTCAAGAGATAGAGACACGGAGTGAGAGAGAGAGAGAGAGATAAATAGATAGATAGTAGATACAGTGGTTTCAGAGTAGATGGCACAAAGTCTTCTAAATATGAGGGTCCATAAAACCCCCTTTGGGGGATTGTGCCATCTACTCTAAAACCACTGTATAGTTCATCTCTTCTGGATTCGCGTCTTCACCTCCCCCGCGGTCGCTATGGTTTGTGTGGTTCAGCACTTGGACAACTTCGGTCGCCGCGCGTTTTTCTGGTCGCCTTCTTCGATTCCTGCTCGGTGGCCAACGCACTGGCATCCTTCTTGGCCTCATCCACTTTGTTTTGCAGCCTGGCAAGGTGGCCGGTTGGAGGCCACAAGGGAGCTCTCTACGGATGCTACGGTTTCTCTCTCCCAGCTGGCCACGGCGAACTGATCATCCATGTTTGTGTGCTTCACTGAATTCGACCACAAAGGTACACAAACTGAAATGGCTTCTTGCATCCCATCAGCTACTCTCTTCATGAACTAGACTGACTAGCATTGGTGGTGACTTTGAACATTTGATCACTCATCAGTCTGGAGTGAGAAACCTATCTTCCTGCTAGCTCCCCAAGGGCGCTCAACTTCCATGCGCCCATGATACTCTGGAACCTAACTAGAGGGAGCTCTGCACATGCCTAGGGTACTACCTTGGGTCTATCCATGTCTATCCTATTGCCAGTAACAGTGGATGATGACGGTCCAGTTACCTTACATGTTTGAACACCACGTAGCTCTGGTGAATCAGCACTGATCAGTTTAGGTCCACGCGGGACCTACTCGTCTTGACCCACGCTTCGGTGGTCCCACGCGGGACTCTGAGATGTTTGCATACGGATTATTCAAGTGTTCATCTTCCCGGGTGGAGCTGAACAAAGACATGCTGCTACGTCTTTCTTTGGCTCGGTCTTTGCGTCGGCTTTTTTGGGGGGGCTTAGATTCACTAAAACGAAGAATCACAAAGAATCAAGGATCCTTATCAAGGATCCCTTTGGATCATGGTCCATATTGCACCAAGCACCAAGCGATCATGGTCGACTTGACCCATCTCTTGGATCTCATGTTTGGAGAAAGCACAGCCAGGGTGCGCTGCAGCATGCGAAAAAAACACCGCCTGCTGGCAATGTCCTGTAGGGTTTCCAGGATCAGGTTACACATCCTCAGCTGACAGATCCGTATCTCTTCGTTTCGACGTCCATCGGACGGGACCGTAGCTCTCCATTTCTCCCATTCACGTCAGCTCCGCTCACGTCGACCGGCCATTCGCTCACAAACTACATTGTCATGACATGAGTCACTACACGAGCTGAAAAAAGGTGTTTTCGGGTCCAATTTCGCTCTGAAACCACAGTCAACTTTGGACTACGGCGATCTTGTTACGCCAAACGTGCTTGCCACGCCATGGATTGTGGATTTGTTTCGTGAATTTCACAAAAAAGAGGATGCTGCCTTAAATTGTCTGATTCCGGGTTGTCTCGACAGGCCTCTCTTCTTGACCATGCCACTGGAGACGCTCCTCCTCTCCTTCATAGTCGATTGAGAGTAGATGGCACACAACCTTGTCTGTCGGTGGTTTCTTTGGACCCCCATCTATGTGGTTTTTGTGATGCGAAAACACATGCATCGCTGCATCGCATGCTGCGTAGGGCCCAGTCACTCGATCTGAAACTTGTGGCGGTTCGCGACGGTGGCGAAGGCTGCGGATGCCTCGATGGGCTGGACAGTCTTGGCTTGGCAGAACTGCGCTTCCCAACAACCTGAGGAAGTTCGTCCAATATGTTCTCTTCTATGAAGCAGTTTTTTTTTTTTTTAAATCTCTTTTCTAGGTCGCTCAGCTTTTTGTTCTTCCGCAAGCCAGCTGTTTGAGCTGCCAGGATGCTGTTGATGGATCAAGAGAGATCGTATGAAGATCGTTAACATTTATGTCTTCTTCAATGGGGCCTAGAACTGCATATGTTGTGCAGTATGTTGTGCATGTTACAGAGTCTTGAATGAAGCTCGTTTACTATTGTCATGCTCACATGCATTGGTCGCTTTTCCATGCCCTTTGAGGTTTCGTGCACTGGACCAACTCGCCACAGGAGCACCCTTTTCGACGAACTCAGAGCCGATTGGACCAACTCACCCCAAACTCCAACTCCTGAGTTATCTACCATTGATCTACCAAGGCCTGCCCATCTTTCTGAAGAGGCCTATAAATATTTTGTGGGCAAGTGAATCAAAACGATTCAAACAAAGACACACACAGTAAAGGGTCATTTGGAAGATCTGGATTCTTCGACCTCAGCGTTTCAATCAACACTTGGCCCCAACTGCCACCACCGAAACCTCATCCGGCGCCGTGTGGGCACGGCCGCGCCGGGCATCCACACGCCATCGGCCAGCATCCAACGTGCAGTCTCCGGGACCTGTGGCCGCGTGCGTCGTGCGCCGGCGACAAGCGGCGCGGAGGGCGGCGAACGTGCGCGAACATGCACCGTTGGACGGAGCACACGAGGGCTGGGGCGAGTGATTGGAGATGCGCATGTGAGCAATCTTTGTGGGGGGGGGGGTTGTGGAGGCGTCTCTCATTTCAGGCACCTCAGGCTCGCTATCAACTAAAGTGTTTTGCGATTGCTAGCTTAGCCAGGAACTTCCACCTGGAAGCTTCAGACCATCTAATTATTTTGGCAGGTCACATCAGCCGTGAAGATTTTGCCGCTGGGAACCAATCCCAAAAGATTCTGTCCAAAGCGCATCAAGGTCCATTTCACCAAGCCCACACCCTATCTGGGATGTTTTTTGTATAAGTTTTGTTGATTCCAAATTCCAACTGGATTCCAACCTGGTTGCACATCCCCAGTCCAATTCTGGACGACTGGCTCCTGCGTGAGGGTCTGACCCCGAACGGACTGCTCTTCCCATCTCCACGCGCTCCAACGGCCTCAGAGTCTAAACCGCCGTCGCGCAAGGCCTGAAGACACCGTGGCTGTCCCGAGACCGGACCGTGTCTGTCTGGTCTGTCGCATACGAACTACTCGGAGGTCCCATCGCGACCCCTCGTGACGTGACGAGTACGTTTGTGCCAGCCACGTGTTTGCCCGCAGCATCTTGGCATCTTGGCATCATTCTTTCATGACACACTCCCACACCATTGAGGACCCCGACTGACACGATGGTGTTCACTTTGCTCTTCACGCCGTTGCCACCTCAAACAACTCGGTGCCAGCCACCGTATCAAGCAGTGACTTGGCCCATGTGGCAAAAGGCTTCAGGATTCCAGGCAGGTTTTTTTCTCCATTTCGCACGTTTGTTTGCGTGCTGTCTGCCAGTTTCAGAACTTGGGCATCACCCAAATTGGTCCACTTCCAAGTTGGGGCGCCACCAAATGCAATCCTATGAGCCATGGAAGCTCCTGGAAGCTAAATTGAAGCTATATATGCTGGATATTTCCACATGATCTAGCTCACTGGTTGGCATTGGTATTTAAACGATTTTAACAAAAACCCAATCCGCTGCCCTCCAACCGCTGCCCTCCGACCGGACGCCCGGGCGGAACTTCTTCCAGGCTGGCGCACCTGGCGCGGAGCCGCAAACAGACGTGCATGAGGAACAAGAAGCTACGGACGGGGCTCCTGGCCTTACTACGAACGGAGCAATGTTCGCTCCTAGTAACAAGGGCATCGCTACTAGTAGCATTCTTACTACTAGTAACAAAAAGCTACTAGGGGCTCCTGGCCATACTACTAGGAGCAAGAAGCTCCTAGTAACAAGCGCATCGCTACTAGTAGCATTCTTACTACTAGTAACAAGAAGCTACCTCACAGGTGCCTTTCATCTTGGAGCGACGAAGGACACCGGTGGAGGCTCGACCGGAAGACCGGAGGCAGGTCGGAAGTGGTGGGTTTTCGGGTGCCGTCTGTTGTTTTTTTGGAAACTTCCCGGTGTTGTTTCTTGAGAAGCAAGTAGAGAAGAGCAAGGACTCGGAAGGATGACGAAACAACTGACGTTGGACGACTTCCCGCATTTCGACACAACTGTCGCTGCTTCGACTCGGCTCCTGCTTGTGTCGCAGCTCGCTTTCCCATCGTCGACGAATGCCTGCGACGACGGTGCTGGCGCGACGTGCGCGCGACGGGCGACGGAACGTCAGGCGCGAGCGATGTGTGTTGAGATCATGGTCCTGTATGGCACTTTTCAACACTGGAAAATATGCATATCAACGGATATATACTGTGCTGGTTTAGCGTAGTTGCCGGGGTTACGGGGTTAATCCGAGGCATCCGCGCGGTAAAAACGGTAAAAAACGAAAAGTTTCTTTTTTTACCGTTTTTACCGGGGAGGGCGCCCCTTTTTCTCTACCATATCCGCGGTAAACACGGTAAAAAACGAAATTTTTCTTTTTTTACCGTTTTTACCGGGGGGGGGGGCCCCTTTTTTTTACCCATACCCGGGTAAAAAACGGTAAACACATATTTTTTTTCTTTTTTTACCGTTATTACCGGGGGGGGCGCCTTTTTTCTCTACCATATCCGCGGTAAAAACGGTAAAACACATATTTTTTTTAACCGTTTTTACCGGGGGGGCGCCCCTTTTTTCTCTGCCATATCCGCGGTAAAAACGGTAAAACACGATTGTTTTAATTTGTTTTTACTGTTTTTACCGGGGGGGGCGCTCCTTTTTTCTCTACCATATCCGCGGTAAAAACGGTAAAAAAACGAAATTTTTCCTTTTTTACCGTTTTTACCGGGGGGGCGCCCCTTTGTCTCTACCGTATCCGCGGTAAAAACGGTCAAAATCGATTTTTTTCTTTTTTTTACCGTTTTTTCCGGGGGGGGGGCGCCCCTTTTTTCTCTACCGTATCCGCAGTAAAAACGGTAAAAAACATTTTTTTTCCTTTTTTCCTGCGGGGTCGCGAAAGTATACCCCTTAGCAAAGCAACGCTCGCGAACCGGCTTAGGATATATATGATAACAGTTGATAACAACAAAAATATTGACTTGCACGACCTTTTTTGACGAGTACCGGAAGCATTGTTCCATGCTGTTCCACTGTCTACAGAGTGCCATGAGTCTCCTGTCAATGGGACACCAGATCTTCCATCCATCAAGGGACCTTTTGACCATGTGCTTCATGGAGAAGAGTCTTTCTTTGGGCCTTTGACAGCCTTTGAAGACTCCCGACCCTGATTGGCCCATTTCTCCTAGGTGGCTTTGGTTCTCTTGTTGGACTTGGTCCTGACACCCTGGAGCATCGTACCTGCCCCGCGTTTCCGGGACCAGGTCCGAAGAGGGCCGGCAAGCAGCACGTCATATCATATGTGCATGCAATCGATCATCGATGTATATACTTGAGCCAATCTACGTTTTTTAAACCACTCATGTTTATGAGGGTACGTGTCCCGAATCAGCATGCTATCGATCATCATGGATTCTGTCTGTTTGCAACCACTTTTTCTCATCTCGGGTCGGATGATCCAAGACATGACCCAGTCAATCCATCTTGGTCCACTACTTGAGTAGGTCACAGCACCACTATCCCAAAAGATCCCGAAAGTAGTTTCTCCGTGCTCCGTAGTGAGAACGCTGTTCATATCCATGCGCATGAGTCACTTGGAAATGAAACAAGCAACCGTCGACGGACGCAGCGGCACCTGGCCTTTCCTTTATAGCGCTTGGGACACTGAATCGCAAGCCAACGCTAGTTTGATGCCAAATGCCAGCGAGTTTGGGCGGCCGAGCGCGGGGGAGAGGTACGTCCGTGCTTGGTAAAGCAACAGTTTGCTGAAATCAGAGTCATAGTGTGCCCGTGAGATGGACCACAGCACATGAAGGTCTTGTCTTGGGCAAATGAAAGGTCTTGGGCAAAATTCTTCACGAACAGGCACACACTCAGTTAGCCTCTATTGCCCGTGCTCTTGACAACATACCGATAGCTATTTCCATCAGCCCTCACAAGACGAGGTGTACGTACGTAGGGAGTACTTAGTACGGGGTAATTCGTTCGCCACCGACATCCACCGACGGTAAGACGCATGACCGTCCGCAGACGACAGCCTTTGGCGGTCCGTCCAGTGGAAGACATACTCAATCTCCAAGACCGACCTTAGTAGTAACAGGTGCCTTACTAGTAGTAACAAAAAGCTAGTAGTAACAGGTGCCACGCTAGTAGTAACAGGTGCCTTACTAGTAGTAACAAGGACGCTACTAGGAACAAGTGCATCGCTAGTAGTAACAGGTGCCTTACTAGTAGTAACAAGAAGCTAGTAGTAACAGGTGCCACCCTAGTAGTAACAGGTGCCTTACTAGTAGTAACAAGGACGCTACTAGGAACAAGTGCATCGCTAGTAGTAACAGGTGCCACCCTAGTAGTAACAGGTGCCTTACTAGTAGTAACAAGGACGCTACTAGGAACAAGTGCATCGCTAGTAGTAACAAGTGCCTTACTAGTAGTAACAAGAAGCTAGTAGTAACAGGTGCCACCCTAGTAGTAACAGGTGCCTTGCTAGTAGTAACAAGAAGCTACTAGGAACAAGTGCATCGCTAGTAGTAACAAGTGCCTTACTAGTAGTAACAAGAAGCTAGTAGTAACAGGTGCCACGCTAGTAGTAACAAGTGCCTTACTAGTAGTAACAAGAAGCTAGTAGTAACAGGTGCCACGCTAGTAGTAACAGGTGCCTTACTCTGGCGATCCGTTCAACGGTGTCTTCTTCGGTCCGGATGTGATGCTTTGAACCTCCAACGGATGTACTGCCTGCACCGGTTCCTTGGGGCTAAACGGATCCTGCAAACGGTGGTTTCAAATGAAAACACGAACAAACAGTATCAGTCAACTCAGTCAACGACTTCAAGATGGTTCAATCATCCCAAGTAAAGGTCGAAACCCAGGATATAGAGGGAGGTATCAAGATCCATGCGATTTGGTATCCAGCCTGGGGTCACAGGAGGCCTGCTGTTGTGGAAGCCGTGATGCTTCCACTGAGGTTCTAGATGGTTCCAGGGTACATCTTGGTAGATCTCTGCTGCCACCAACAACATTTTTTGATTGCTTTGCGGGTTGTGTTCGTCTTGCACAATTCCATTATGCAGCTCGTTTCGACCACCCGGAGGGACGGGTTGCGGTGGGTTCCACCGCCCCATGTGCGTCCCCGAACCGTTCCCCATGCCGATGTCCTGTCTGCGGCGTTGTGAGCTGGACTGTGGGCAATCGGGTGACCTGTAAGACCTCGATTCCAACATATGTTCTAAGACCTGTAGCAACGAAAGGAACGAAAAGGCTGTGTGAGTAGTCAAACAAACTGTAGCAACACAGCAACTTTAATAATAGTGTAACAACTTGCCAATCGCCAACGATTTTTGGGGTTCATCTCGAAACGTGAACTGCGGAATCCTTGGATTTCAGGAACCGGGCAAAATGCAACATATTCCCCTATGCCGGGGATTGTCTCATAGAGAACGAAGATAAACATCATCCTAAGCAAAACCAATAAAATAGAAAACATAGAGGATATATAGTAGGAACCTCCCACAAGTACCCCCTCTCCAACCGAGGCCAAGGGCATTCCCAAGGGCATACTGCCCAAGGCGGCCTGGGCATGCTTGGTGTTAAAGAACATCGGGGAAGCATCGATTGGATAATGTTGACCTGTGATTAATAAAGCCCCCTAGAATAATGTCTTTTTTTTCCTGCACAAATTAATAAAGGCCCCCAGAATAATGTCTTTTTTTTTGGCAGGGATAGTTGTAGTGGAATATGTTTTATTGTTATAGTTTACTTTTTCCCTTTTGATTTGCTTTACTCACCCTCTATTCCTTATTTACTTTTCCTAAGCTCTTTAGTATTGAAGCTTTCCAAAAGTTTCCAAAAGTCAGTGCGCACTTTCTTTATAAAATCCCTTATTCAAACATATTGAAAAACAAAAACAATCATTCAAGCAAAGGGGGTAGTCCAGCAAGCAGCTTTCTGACATTATTTAAGGGGGGCCCCTAGAATAATGTCTAGAGATTTGAGGCTTTAAATCGTTATTCCTTTTCTTTGCCTTTTGATGTGCTTTAATTACCATTGAAATTGCAGGTCTTTGGATTTAGATTTCCATTGAACTTTAAACCGTTAGTTCTATTTGCATTGATTCATTCCCTTTTATTGTAATTCATATTTCAGATGTCTTTTGGAGATTTCCATTGAGATTTGATGCTTTTGGATGCTTTTGGAGGTCTTTGGATTTAGATTTCCATTAAAATATTGAGAATTTCATTTCAACTTTATTGATTTCCTTTTACTTTAGTATTCCAAATTTGAGATTTCATTGATTCCCTTTTAATTTAATATTGCCAGAGAAGGCCAAGAAGATTTTAATAAGGATTCTTTTCATTTTGGTCCTTTGATTAGTTTTCTAGTAGATTATATTGGAGGCCCTGGTTGTTGAGGGGGGGGGGGCCGGGGGGGGTTGATTAATCAAGAGTCAACATTAGCTTGGGGGGCTCGATGTCCCAAGACTTGTTCTCAGCCCGTTCTGCGCACGTGAGCCTCGAACGTGCCTCGAACGTGAACAAATGTGTCCTTCCCATGGGACATCTGTGATCCCGGTCCAGCCCCGAGCGACGCGCGACCACCTCTGGATACTGGGATGCACGTCATCCCAGCAGTCGGGACCCTCCACATTCCGAGAGTGAAACCCTCCTCAGTATAGCAGGGGGGTCCAACCCGAATCTGGATGAGCAAAGGGCTGGGTGCGGGTCCTCATGTCTTATCATGCTTTCTCACCCATCCCGGTCGAGTGAAAAGGTCGCGTCCGGAGGAGAAGTGTCAACAACAAAAAGGTCCCAGCAATGGGACGCCTGGCATTTCACCAATTCATATGGACCCCCCCCGGTAAGGACCCAGGACCCCCATCCCAAAAACCATTTGGCTCACTGCCTCTCCCCATCTCGTCAGAGGTCTAATGATGTAAAGAGATCCACGGAGAAGAGGTCCGGTCCCTCTACCAGGTCCAGGTCCGTTTTCGAAAGAAAAACCGGTCTCTGGCCTCTGGACCAAAAAGTACGCGATACGTGGGTGGGGCGACCATATCGTATCTTGTGTCGTGTAGATCTTCTTGGCAAGTCTTTGGACCAGGATCCACATTTCCTTGAACCCCAGCAGGGGAATGGTCAAGTACGGAATGGGCAAGTCTGACAAAGAACTGCAATTTTGAAAGGCAGCATCCTCTGTTTGGTCACTGAGTTTGGGACACCAAACCACACACATGAGCCTTATCAACATGTCTTTCTTTACAATTTTTTAATGCTGCTCAACCTCATTTTTTGGAGCGTCTTGGACAGTTCCTTCCCCTTTTTGGCTTTTGATCTTCCTTCCTTCCTTCCTTTCTTTCATTATTCCATTCGTATTCCTTTCTTTTTCTTCTTTCCTTTGTTCTGTTCATTTTTGCTTGTTTTCTTTCATCCATCCTTTCTTTCTATCTTCCTTTCTGTCTTGGCGTTGCCGAGAAAGAAGGACAAAATGACACTTATGCAGTGCCACTCAAAGGGAACACAATGACACTCATGTCGTGCCCCACGGTGCCCCAAAAGGAAAGCACAATGAGAAAGATTCACTATAAAGGAGAATAGAGAGGCTCTTAATTATGTTGAAAGCACATCGGACATATAATCAATGGGTTCTAACGTTTTTGGACTTGAAAGAAAGCCAATGCTATTTTACTAAAACACACTTTCATATTACCTATATTTCAATAAGAAAAACATGTAGAATCAAAATGAATCAAGGTTTGACACATGCTTGTATACAATTCATTTGTGACACAAACAAACTATTTTCTTCTTGAACAAACGATGTAAACCTCCACTCCCTTTACCACATCAATCCAGCCGTGTACCCCACCTCAAAACTACTTCATCATGTGCAGGACTATTGCTGGATCCAAAGGCTGTAGCTCTCGTTAACATGTTCTTTCTCCTGAAACCTGCTAATTTAGACCTCTGGATCCACACTTATACCGATTGCAAAGGAAGATCCGTCTGGAAAAAGAGCCCGTTCATGGTCCCCTGGCCATCAAACAGCTGTTCAGCTCACTGAGGGCCCCCCTGCACAGAACTCTGCCTTTGACCAGAAACCATCTTTGTCTGCGTCATATTTGTAGAACCTGGAAGAGAGAGCATCTCAGTGGCCATTTAGACGCCATGTTTTTCATGTCACATCTACAAAGACCGCAACATTTGAGACGAAACACTGCGAAGTCCCGAAGGTTCTTCCGTGGCTCTTCAAGACATTCCGGGTCTTCGTCCAAGAAAGCCCAAGTTGATGGTGAAAGGCACAAAGCCACACCAACTAGGAACAAGAAGCTAGTAGTAACAGGTGCCACGCTAGTAGTAACAGGTGCCTTACTAGTAGTAACAAGAAGAATTTAATTAGAATTCTAATGAATAGCTTCTTGTTACTACTAGTAAGGCACTTGTAATTACTAGCAAAGGAATCTACTAGGACCTTACTAGGAACAAGTGCATCGCTTCTAGTAACAAGTGCCTTACTAGTAGTAACAAGAAGCTACGAACGGGGCTCCTGGCATCGCTACTAGGAGCAAGGACGCTACTAGGAGCAAGTGCATCGCTTCTAGTAACAAGTGCCTTACTAGTAGTAACAAGAAGCTACGAACGGGGCTCCTGGCATCGCTACTAGGAGCAAGGACGCTACTAGGAGCAAGTGCATCGCTTCTAGTAACAAGTGCCTTACTAGTAGTAACAAGAAGCTACTAGGGGCTCCTGGCCTTACTACTAGGAGCAAGGACGCTACTAGGAGCAAGTGCATCGCTTCTAGTAACAAGTGCCTTACTAGTAGTAACAAGAAGCTACGAACGGGGCTCCTGGCCTTACTACTAGGAGCAAGGACGCTACTAGGGCCTCCTGGCCGTACTACTAGGAACAAGTAGCTAATCCAGTTCTTGCCCCAAGAAGGATCCCATGGGTACACCCTCGCCAGGATTCTGGTGGCATGGTGTTCTTTTTCATGCTGGTGCCCATACTCTGGCATGACTTCGTTG